AGAGTTGTAATTTCAGAATGGCTTGAAATTAAGTATTATAGAATCTCTCAAATTCAGAATGAATTTTTTTTAATTAGTGAGTTTATAAGGGAAAAATAAACGATCATAGCCTTTGTTGCTAAAAGAGTTCTTTCTGAAATAACATTATTCCAATCCAAGAAATAGTACACCTTCATTGTAGAAAATTTAAAAAATGCAGGAACATGTAAGGGAAATAGAAAATACCCATAAAACCACTCAGATAATCTCTGTGAACCTCTTGTTACATATTCTTCCAGTCTTTTTTCTGTACGTACACTGTATATGACTTTATAAATAGACTTCTGCTTCTTTCAGAACGGAGTAGAAGGGGTTGGGTTTATCCTCTCATCTAAAACAACCAAAGAGAACCAGCCAAAATAAATGGTTTTTAAGGCACTGAATATCAGGCAATTAATTGCAATGATCACTGAAAACAACGAGATATGCTGTGCAGTAGTTCATACACATTTTGTTTTATGACATTGGCTGCAATTCCCCACAATGTAACAGTTCTCTTCCCACTTCCTCCCTGTAGTGACCTCTTCCCAGTGTCTTCCTTTCCTGCACATTCCTGCCCCACCCCCCAGCTATCTCTCTATGCAAATACTGCCCTTCTGTTCTCACTACCTTGAGAGAGTTTCCAAGCCAGTGTAGAAAGGTAGAAATGAGGCAGAGCCTGGTGAGCTCTCTAAGAGCTGGGAGTCCAGGAAGACCAAGACAGGTAGAGTTCGCAGAACAGAGAACCAAAGAGGAGACACCTCTAGAGTATTCAGCAGAGTACTGATTGGCATGTATATATGAAGAAACTACCCAAGACTGAGGAATAAACCACCAGACATGATTAGAGGGAACAGTGAGTACCCAGTACCCACATAGGGCCAAGAATACTGCCTGTTCTTACCAGCCAGACTGGTAAACATCATCATTCATGGGTCATTAAGTAGACTATTAAGAAGTGTCTTGCCTCAGTAGTGGGGACATACTATGAAACACTGCAAGACTCAGATCTTAAAAGCAAGTCCCAAAAAGATAAAACTGTTTCCACGTAACTTAACTGTATCCAAAAACATATATAGGAATACAGAATTATCCAGGGTCTGACATCTAGTCAAAGATTAATGGATGTGCAAAGAAGCAGGAAAATGTGACCCATATGAAGAGAAAAATCAGTAACTCAAAATAACAAAGACCTGCCATAGATGTTAGAATTAGCAGACAAGGACATAAAGCAGTTGTTATAACTATATTCCATATGTTCAGAAACTAAAGCAGAGTCTGACAAGGGACGTATCCCTAGAATTTATAAAAAAACTCCAACACCTCAACAACAAAAAGATAATCTAAAGAAGGTTGGGCAATCCTACTTCCGTAGTGATACTGCCTCGGAAACCCAAGGAGGGGTGGCTATGAGTCGGGGCCAACTCGACGGCAAACAGCAACAACAACAACAATTTAAAAATGGGCAGAGGACATGAATAGACACTTCACCAGATGGTATTCAGGCGGCCAAAAAATATATGAAGAAATGCTCACGATCTTTAGCCATCAGAGAGATGTGAATCAAAACAACTATGAGATACCATCTTGCCGCAGCACTAGTAGCAAAGTTCAACAAGACAGAAAATAATAAATGCTGGTGAGGGTGTGAAGAGATTGGGACTCTCATAAATTGCTGGTGGCACTGTAAAATGATACAACCACTGTGGAAAGCAGTATGGCAATTCCTTAAAAAGTTGAAATTATAAATACCATTTGACCCAGCAATTCCATTACTAGGTATATATCCTAAAGAAGTGAGAGCCAGAATAATAACACATATATGCACACCTATGTTCATCACAGCACTATTTACAATAGCCAAAAGATGGAAACAACCTAGGTGTCCATCAGCTGAAGAATGGATAATCAAAGTATGGCACATACACACAATGGAATACTATGTAACCCTAAAGAATAATGTAGAATCAGCAAAATACCACATAACGTGAGTGGACTTGGAGATATTATACTGAGTGAAATAAGTTAATCACAGAAGGACAAATATTGTATTAGTCTGTTATTTTTAAAAAATCAGGGAAAGGTATCCATATGGAAATAAATTTTCTTTGTTGGTTACTGGGAGGGAGGGGAGGGAACACTGTCAGATAGGTAGAGACAAGTGTTGATTTGGATGAAGGCAAGGGCAATGTACCAAATGTGAGTGATCAACATGGTAGCATTGAGGAAGAGAAAAACATAGAGAGGTGCATGGGAGGTACAGACAACAAAGATGAACCCTTTTGCACATATATAGTACTGCATTGTCAGTGAAGGCAAACATTGATATACAGGTGGATAGATGGATACACAGGCTGAACTATTAGGTATGTCTGTGCAGAGGGAGTGTGCCTATGACCATGTATAGGGTTGGCAGACAGTGTTTCTACAAGTGTATTTGTGTGTTCTGTAAGAATTCCCAGGTATATAGTAGAGCTGATAAGGGACAACTTTGTAGTCCCTTCTTGGCCACAGCCAGCTACCCAGAGGGAGCGAATAGTTGGACCTGTGGTCTTAGGACAATAGTCTCAGGGGACATCAATCTCAACTGGCATAACATACTACACAAAAACATTGCTCTGCATCCTACTTTGGCGAATAGCGACTGGGATCTTAAAAGCTTGCAAGAGGCCATCTAGATGCAACAATGGGTCTCTCCTCGTCCAGAGCAAAGAAGAATGAAGAAAACCAAAGACACATGGAAATAACAAAGACACATGGAAATAATTAGTCCAAGTAACTGGTATGCCATGTGATCTTCAGCCTATATGACTATGAGACCAGAAGAACTAAATGGTGCCTGGCTACCACTGTCAACCACTCGGAGGGGAATCTCTGTAGGAGATCCTGGACAGAGTGGGAGAATAATGTGGAACAAAACTCAAAATCATTTAAAAAAAAAAAAAAAAAGAGGAGGGCGGGACTAGGTTTGCTGGTCTGATAGAGCCTGATGGAACCACTGAGACTATGGCCCCTAGCTGCCCTTCAGGTCTGGAATTGAACCCATACCTGTAGCTTGCAGCCAAACAAAAGACAGGCATATGAGCTGAACATTCACACTAGGTAGATATACTCCTTGAAGAGAGGAATCATGGGAGAATAGAAGGGCTGTGTATGTACAGGAACATAGCTCAGGGGCAGGAGTACATGGGAGGGAAGGACACAGGAAAGAGGTACTTATGGGGAGGATGTGGGAAGGGAGCTGTTGCATTGTGGTAAATTGTAGTCAATGTCATGAGACAGTGTATGTGAGCTGCTGTATGGAAAGTGAATTGGCTTTGTAAACTTTCACCCAAATCACAATAAAATTTTAAAAAAATAAATAAAGGGAGTATATGAATAATAATAATAAAGTAAAGCAGAGATACGGAAAATATAAAAAAAGACCCAAATAAAATTTCTAGAGAGAAAAACTACAATGTCTGAGTTTAAAAAGAGAGAAAGCGAAGGATTAGATTGGATTAACAGCAGATTAGACATTTCAGGGAAAAAAGAAGATTTATGAACTTCAAGGTACGATGATAGAAGCTATCTGAAATGGTGTGCACAGAGAATTTTTAAAATCCAGGAAAATTAAAGGAGCATTAATGAGCTGTGGGACACCTTCAAGCAGCCTAAAATACATGTAACTGGAATTCCTGATGGAGAAAAGAGAAGAGGAACAAAAAATATTTGAAAAAATGACCATAGACTTTCCAAATTTGATGAAAACCACAGATCCAGGACATTCAATGAATCCCAAGTACAAGAAACATGAAGAAAACTACACCATGGCACATGATCATTGTCATGGATTGAATTGTGTCCCCCCAAAATATGTGTCAGCATGGGAGGCCATGATTCTCAGTGGTTTAACAGTTAAGTAATAATGTAATGTGGCAGTTATGTAATGATGTGATCATGCACCATGGTGTGATCTGATGTGGTAAGGGAATTAAGGTGGGATGCAACACCTTTAATTATATCACAGCCCTGATCCAATGTAAAGGGAGTTTCCTTGGGGTGTGGCTTGATCACCTTACATCTTATCAGAGATAAAAAGAGAGAAGAGAGCCAAGAGCGGGACCTACTACCTCTAAGAAAGAAGAGCAGGGAGAGCAGCACGTCCTTTGGACCCAGGGTCCCTGCACTGGGAAACTCCCAGACCCAGGGGAAGATTGATGCCAAACACGCGGAGATCCCCAAGGAATGCCAGGCCCACAGATGTTGAAAGGAGGCAGACTTTCTACCAGAGCCAACAGAGAGAAAAAGCCTTCCCCTAGAGCCAACACTCTGAATTCAGACTTCTAGCCTTCTAAACTGTGAGAAAATAAATACCTGTTCGTTAAAGTCATCTGTGATATTTCTATTATAGCAGCACTAGATAACTAAGACAATAATGAAACTGCCAGTCATTTTAAAAGAAATTCTTAAGAGACAGAAAAAACACATTACATTCAGATAAATAAGGATAAAGGCAAATTTCTTGTCAGAAAAAAATATAAGAAGACACTAAATACTGAGAGAAAACAACCTCAACCTAGAATTCTAAACCAGCAAAAATATCTTTCGAAAATGAAGGTCAAATAAGTCTTTTTCAGACAAATAAAAGCTGAAGTAATTCATCAGGCAGAAGGAAAATGGTTAACCATTCAGCCGCTAACCCAAAAGTTGGTGGTTTGAAACCACCAGTCACCCCATGAAAAAAAGATGAGGCAGTCTGCTTCCATAAAGATTGCAGCCTTGGAAACCCTATGGGGCAGTTCTCCTCCACCGTGTAGGGTTGCTGTAAGTCAGAATAGCCTTGACAGCACACAACAACACAATGTGTATGTTTTTACATCTATTTTTGGACATATTTTTCAGATTACTTATGATAGCTGATTGCCAAAGTTGGAATTATTAGTGCAAAGGACTAAATTCAGGTGTTTTTGTTTTGTTTTGTTTTGTTTTTTAAAACGAAGGTTCAGGATTTGGAGCTGCCACCAAAGCAATGTGCGTCGGCATGCGTTACTGGAAGCCTGATCGGTTGGAAACCCTTATTGAAGTTAGCATTGAATGTGGAAGAATGACACATAACCATCCTACAGGTAATGCTGATGTTGGATCAGATGTCAGGGCCATGCAACCTAAATGGTGTGGATGTGTCTTTTTAAACATAACAGAACCCCTAACCTCCTGCTATCTAGGTGCCTATTTTGTAATTCTTCACCCCAGTTGTACTCCCTCACTCTTACTGTGCAATGTACCGGACAGGAAATCTCATGTAATCAGGTCAGTTTTGTTTGTTTGCTTTTTTGTTGTGGAAGTTGGAGTTTTTTAAATCTTCAGCTTGCTTAAGGTCTGTTTTTAATCTAAAAGCAGAATTGGTGATAAGTGTGCTAATGCTGGAGAAGATGTGCAAATGAAAGAATTCTTAATGGTTTTGCCATCTGTCACACATCAGAAAAAAAGAAAGAGGAAAGCACCTATCTGAATAAGCAATGGTTGAAGTAATGGAAACTAGAGTTTATGTTTTCAATAATGAATCAGAATCCAGAAGTTCATCATCATTTTCCTGTTACATGGTGCACCCTAGGCTAGGGAGCTTTTGTTTCACCTCTGGCATGATGATTAGACACATAGGCTTTGAGCCAGACTGACTGGCTCCACCACTTTTACTAACTATGTGAGCAGGAATGAGTTACTTAAACTCATTTGGTGCAATGGTTAGAGCACTCAACTGCTAACTAAAAGGTTGACAGTTTGAACCTACTAGCCACTCCACTGGAGAAAGATGAGGTTGTCTGCTTCCATAAAAATTTACAGCCTTGAAATCCCTAAGGGGCTGTAATATTCGCTCCTATAGAATCTCTATGAGTCAGAATCAACTCCATGGCAGTGGGTTTGTTTGGATTTGATAATGGTAATGATCATACCTACTTACTGGATTTAATTAATGTGAGGATAAAATGAGTTAAAAGATAAATAAAACCCGTTAAAACAGTGCTTCTCATGTTGTAAGTGCACAATGTAGGTCAGCTATTTTCTGTTATTTCTGTCATTCATCACTTATCCATCATACAGAGTGAAACAGGGTCTCCACAGAACAGGGCAAATGAGCACGTGGCCCAAGACTTGACTTTGGGACATGACTTAGAAAGGCAGTTAAAGAAGGTGGCTCAATCAGCTCATAATTTAAAAAAAGAAAAAATGACTTGAAACTCTTACACCTGTACTCAGCTCTTAAATCATGGCAAAACAGATGAGCATGCTCTGCCCTAGTTCCACACATAGTCCAAGGCTGCCAGCTGCTCTCTGGTGACCTGTTTCTTCTTTCAAGGTTACCCTTAATGTTCATTTCAACTAGATGTCACTCACTGAAAGTAGGAGAGGGGCCAGTCTGTATCCTCCAGAAAGTACCATTTAAGCAGATGAGAACTGTAGTAATTGAAATGGCATTTGCTGAAACTAGGGCACCGTTTATGGAGACACCATTCTGTTGAGGGTATGTGACAAAATATACCAAATGAGTTCACGTCTGCTCATGACAGCCTGAGCAGTCAACTCAACAGATAAATGTTAAATACTTAAAATTTAAGAAGAAAGACATGTAATTCATCCAGTTTGCAAAATCTCAGATCGTTGGAAAGGCATTCATGCTGGACATCTGCTAATTGGTGGAACTAAAAGTAAGTTAAAAATAAAAAATCTTCAAACATGAAAATATTGAACATTTGAAAACAATGTAATGAGTCTAAGAATTGGGGTTGGACCATAAAGAATAATGTAGAATCTGCAAAACGCCACATAACGTGAATGAACTTGGAGGACATTATGTTCAGTGAAATAAGTCAATGACAGAAGGACAAATATTGCAGGCGTCACTATTTTGAAAAGTCAAGGAAAGGTTTATACACAGGAGGAAACTTTCTTTGTTAGTTACCAGGGATGGGAGGGGAGGGGAAGGAAAATTCCTAGACAGGTTGGGGGGAAAAAAAAAAAAAAAAAATATATATATATATATATATATATCTCCCCCAAAGATTATTTGCAGTTACCAGGGGTGGGGGTGTGGAAGCTTTTGTTTGTGAAGAATTGTGTTTATGCTAATGGTGGCAGAATGTTTTGGAAAAGGACAGCATTAATGGTGGCACAACATGAAAAATATCATCAGTGTCCCTGAGCTGTAAATGGGGAATTGTTATGTTATGTTGATGAATGTCTTGTTGTATATATTTTCACCACAATAGAAGTAAAAAAGAAAAAAGAATTGGGGTTGGAGGTTTAAATTTCTAAAACTTTGCTAACATGTTGCCTACCCTTATTAAAGAAATATTATTTCACTTGATTAAGAGTTAAATAATTTTTATTATTCTCAGATTGATTTATACATTCTCAAATTATGACTGAAAATGTTTTAAAGATTCAATTGTACTCAATTAATATTTGGAGATACTTTTTAACTTCATTCCCCTTTTCAGTTTTCAAAGAGCCTTTAGCGGCAAGTGTTGCTATTTTTATTACAGCATGCCTTTGTCCAACACTCCAGAGCTAAAATATTCCAAAAGAGGAAGCAGAGCAATGGCATGAGAGTCAGGACAATAATTAGAACACTGGATCTGGTAATTAGACTATTTTTGATCCATTAACTCTAATCCCTTGGCTGTAGAAATGATCCATAATTGATTCCTCTACAATGGCCAAAAATAATTAGGAAAGCTTCTCAGTCAAATGTGCAATGCACTTTATTGGATGGGATGGGAAATCTATGGAGCTACCATGTTTTGAGTGCCGGCCAGGTTACTATGTACCAGATCCTGTGGTAGGCACTTTATATGCTTAATTATTTAGTCCTCAAAACAACTACCACAAGGTAGGTATTGCTCTCTCCTTTTACAGATGAGGAATCTGAAATTCAGAATGCATTAAATTAACTTGCTCAGGGTTTTACATCTGATGAATGATGAAACCAGGATTTGAATACAAATCCATCTGACTTCAAAGCTCACTTTCTTTTACAATTACATAGTTTGTCAAGTATATTTCATTTTTCACATAGACCAAATCGACACAGTCACTTAAAATATTTACTGTTCCAAACCTAACACTATATTTGTAATTAAGTTACATGATCTCAGTGCCTCCAGTTCCTCATTCAGTTTCATGGAGATGATTATAATGCTCACTGTCACAAGATTGTGTTAAGAATTAAGGAAGTTACACAAGTAAAGCACTTAGAACAGTGCCTGGCTGATGATCTCTTAGTTATGAGCTGCTAGTAGTGCCTCCTTCTCTTCTTGCTTCTCTCTCCTTTTGTCTCTTGTAAGATAAAAGGTGATGCAGGCCACACCCCAGGGAAACTCCCCTTACATTGGATCAGGGCTGTGACCTGAGTAAGAATGTTGTGTCCCACCCTAATCCCCTTACAACTGATTGGCTGATGCAATGAAATCACATCATGAGTGATGATTACAACATTACATAAGTGCCAAATTACATCATTACATAACTGCCAAACCACTGAGAATCACGGCCCAGCCAAGCTGACACTTTTTTGGGGGGTGGGGGTGGGGAGTTATAATTCAATCCATGACACATGTTAATAGCTCAGTACCATGTTTGTTGCTGTTACTATCAATAATAATAACAAAATGGTCTTAATTCCTTGAAAAAAGGCAGATTTTACATAGCAGATAGTGCCATCACGATTTCCAAGAATGTCTTGCTAGCCCTGGGACATTTTTTGTCTTGTTATTACCAGGATAATTATGAATAATTTAAATTAGTTTTACTCAAAGTTCACTCCTAATGTTTTCATTCCACAGGAACTTCTAATAAAGCCAAAGCAGCTAAAATGTACCTGGTGAAGGGTATTATCTTGAATCTGTTCCATGAGAACTGACTAACCCTAAGACTCCCCAGCTGGCTTGCTAATTAATGTGTGTCATTAATTATGTTTACCACCAGGGAAGAACTCAGCACAAATCCAGTCACCAAAACAATTGAAAGCACCTGATCCACAGATGGCACTAGGGAAAATAATGTCCTGCTGTATCATGGGCAACACTTAGAATTTTTAAATGACATTTGAGGAATAAAAGTCTACTGGGCTTCCCACTTGTTTCATCCTTTAAGATTGGTTTGCCAATCTACCTGTGTACCTGGAATGATGATGATGATGATAGTCCTCCAAGGCCAAAATCATTTCCTAACAAGACTTTATTTTTTAAAAAAATTTAATGTCGCATTTTTTTTTTCAGTAAACATAGTTTTAAACTGTGGCATACCAAAGAAAATAAGGAAAATAAAAATGAAGCCCAATAATTTCAATCTAGAATAAGCACTAATATTAAAACTATTACTATTACTAATATTATAATATATTAGTAATATGAACTTATATACTAATATCGAATCTGTTACTAAGGAGCACAGGTGACATAGTGGGTAAGGCATTTGGCTACTAATTAGGTCAGTGGTTCAAACCTACTAGCTGCTCTGTGGGTGGAGGATGAGGTAGATCTATTTCCATAAAGATTTGTTGTTGTTGTTGTTGTTGTTGTTAAGTGCCGTCAAGTCATTTCCGACTCATAGCGACCCCATGCGCAGCAGAACGAAACACCGCCCGATCCCGCGCCAGCCCCACAATCCCTACTATACTTGAGCCCATCATCGCAGCCACCGTGTCAATCCATCTCGTTGAAGGCCTCCCCCTCTTTCGCTGACCCTCCACCCTACCAAGCATGACATCCTTCTCCAGGGAATGGTCCCTTCTTACAACATGACCAAAATAGGTGAGATGAAGTCTGGCCATTCTTGCTTCCAAGGAGCATTCTGGCTGCACTTCCTCTAGGACAGATCTGTTAGTTCTTTTAGCAGTCCATGGTACTTTCAGCATTCTCCGCCAGCACCACAACTCAAAAGCATCAACTCTTCTTCGGTCTTCCTTATTCATTGTCCAGCTCTCACATGCATACGAGGCGATTGGAAATATCATGGCTTGTGTCAGGCGCACCTTAGTCCTCAAGGAGAGATCCTTGCTCCTCAGCACTTGAAACAGTTCCTTCGCAGTAAAGATTTACAGCCTTGGAAATCCAATATGGGTCACTATGAGTCAAAATCAACTGAAAGGCAGGGGGTTTGGGTTTTTTTGGTTTTTTTGTTTAACTATTACTAGTGGGAGCTCTGGTAGCTTAGTGCCTAAGGCACTTGACTGCTAACCAGAAGGCTGGTGGTTCAAACCCACCAGCCACTCGTCGGAAGGAAGGTTGGGCAATCTACTTCCACAGTGGTACTGTCTTGGAAACCCAAGGAGGGGTCCCTGTGAGTCGGGTCCAACTCAACGGCACACAACAACAACAACATTCTAATATATTTGGAAGCTCTGGTACATAGTGCCTAAAGCACTTGCCTGCTAACCAGAAGGCTGGCAGTTCAAACCCACCAGCCACTCCTCGGAAAGAAGATGGGGCAATCTACTTCGGTAGTGATACTGCCTCAGAAACCCAGGGAGGGGTTGCTATGAGTCGGGTCTGACTCGACGGCACATAACAACAGCAACAACAGTGGCAAGTCCAGAAATAAAATGAGAACAAGCCCAACACCAATTGAGTAGCATGAGTTGAGTTCACCAGGGAGAACTCTCTGAGGAATGATCTTGTTGCTGAGTGTTATTGAGTAGATCACTACTCATAGTGACTCTGTAGGACAGAGTAGAACTGGCCCATAGAGTATTCTAGACTGTAATCTTTATGGAAGCAGATCACCAGCTCTTTTCTTCCATGGAGTTGCTGGGTTTGAACCACCAATCTTTCAGTTAGCAGTCCAGAGCTTAACCACTGCACCACCAGGGCTCCTTTAAGGAATGATATAATCTACCCTTAAATTCTAATTTCTCTAAGATAAGTAATAAGTGTTTAAGATTCAAGTTAATATATTATTCTACCTCTTTAGACTTATTAAATTGTTATCAGCATTGTCATGAAGTTTATTAAAACTTCTGCTCAGTATTCTTCGTAAAGTGCCTAGAGGTTACCAGGCATTACCCTGACAACAATGTAGTCTTTCCCAGAAATGTGTATTTTACCCAGAGTTCAGAAAGCTCTCAGTAGTAATAAAAGATTTATGAGCAAGGTGACAACGTTGTCTCCTTCCCACCACTGTCCTTTGCTCCTCTAGGATTCCTCGGGTCACTGTGCACAGCCCTTTTTGTATCGTACGCCGTGCAAGGAAAGCCACTTGTGCAGTGGGGGAGAGAGATGATGAAAGTGGTTCCACTGGCTGAAGAATATTGTAAGAAGACTATTCGGCATATGGCAGGTGAGCCTGGCTTCCTTTTATGTCACATTCTCAGAGCACTGCCACCTAGAAAGAGGTTAATCATAATTCACACTCAAAGCAGGTTTGGAAAGACTAAACTCCTATGACCACCCCTCAGATATTTCAAGATACCTTTGCCTCAAAGTGAAACCAAGAGAATACCCACTGGGTCAGTATAAGCAGTCTGGCTTCCACAAATGACGCCTGAGATTATTACATGACCAGAAGGCAGACATCTCTGAGAATGGCACCGGTGTGTGCAAGGCAATCCAAAGTAATGCTGGATTCTTCATTCCCAAACCACTGAGAGCTGCCTGGCTTTGGGACTTTAGCCTCTGCTGAGATTCTGCTACCCCTTGCCTCTATTTCCGATCGTAGCTAAAAAAAGAGGAATTGGAGTGGATACTTTAGTTTCAAAAATTAGGTTCACAAAGTATAGTAACCCTTTTCTTAAGAGAGGAATGAGAGACAAATCAAGCCTAACATTTCCACATTGTCTCTGGGACCTACTCTATGTATGTGCCTCAGTGCCATGAAGCCAAGGCAGAGATCTGTGCCTACTAGTGATATTCGCTCCCAGGAATTCCCATCTGTCCCAAGGAACATCTAAAACCTATGTAATCAATGTTTTATTACATCTTTTCTGGCTTCTGAGCCTTTTTGGACAGAAGTAGGTATTAATCTATCAGTCAAAGGTCCTATGGGAAATAATGTTTCTAATGATTTAGGCACGAAACTCATTTGGGACCTCTTGCATTTTTTTCTCTTTAGTCCTTTCTCAGTAAATTCCCTGAGGTAGAATAGACACTGGAACAGCTGTTACAGATTTCGGGAATCCATGATTTTCTCCTTAAATGGCCAATTCTTGTGGACAGTTCTTTCACTCTTCAAGAGGTACCGTCAGTTCTAACAGGGACATGTGCCACCTGAGTATTAGGCAGCTTCACTGCTGCCTTTGATAGACCTCGATTGTTGAGGAAAATTTCTAACATAAGTTATCTAATTTGTCCTGTGGGGGAGGGGGGTAAAGGATTTGAATATGGGAGCAGTGTTGTTTATTTTTCAAAATGCAACACAACTGAGGCTAAAGTCTTCTTGAAACTGAAGAACCAATTTATTACTCTAACATCACCTTCCAAAATGTTGGGAATTATAGTCTAAAAATGTCTTTTGGAAGGTTTCTAGAAAAACTTTACAAGGAAACATTTGCATCTCTTTTTGCCTAGACTTAGCAGTAGAAAACATTTACTCACAAAGTGTACTGTTCAAACAAAAACCAGTAAAGCCAATATTTTATGAGTAAGTATTCCATATTTCCACGTGGCTTAACTATCCATCAATAAACAATTATAGAACATGATTGGCCACACCACACTTTGTTTTCATTTGATTTAAGTCAGTGTCTGTCTCTGATGATTCAGGCATAGTCACACCAGCATGGATGGAGTTGGGGTGGGAGGAATAACTAAGTAGATGACTTCCAGGGATTCTTCCCAGCAGCCCTGAGATCTGTTGCCTGCTGTCATCTGGTTAGTAATACCCCTAAGCCAAGGTAGAATCACACCTAAGCCATCTGAAAGAGACAAATAATATTAGGATATGAAACTATACCATGACTGAATACTATATTGATGAACGTTTTCCCACAATTCTTAGTACTCTGAAACAATTTTCCATAAAGTGCTTTTTTGAATAATAGTCATCAAAGATATTCCATGGGAAAAAAAAAAGGAAGGCATTCAGATAATTTTGAGACTTTGTCCTTTTACTTGGTTATTCAAAAATACATATAAGTCAGTTTAAAGCCTGAGAAATAGTCCTGTAAATAAATCTGTTAAAATTTAAATTTGTTTAACCTGTAGGTTTTCGAACTTATATGATACAGCATCCTTTTTGACAGAACACCTAAAATTATCCAGAGAAAATAATTCTGCCCTCAGGAAATATTCTTCTAGGAGCTTCTGATTAGTCTATATGATACAATCCCCTAGGCAGTAGAGCAATTAACAAATTAGTTAAAAGTTTTCATTTAATATTTGGATGTCTCATATTTCTAAAATTTACCAATTTTGTAATTGGATGAGAGGCTGTGGTCTGATTTTTAAACCACACCTAGATATAAGCAGACTATTAGAAAGTACTTATCTTTATAGGGTTACAGGGTATCTGTATGTTTTAGTTCTTGCCCTCTTACTTCTGTGACTTTTACTTTTAATCTTATTTCACTGAATAAACCTTTAAGTGGGCTTTGTTTTTTATTTTTTTAAAAAACAAGTCAATCCAGCATGTTCAGGTGCCTGTGATTCCCTTGGTAACCTCAAATCTTACTCTAGAGGACCTATACAATGGTGTCTCCTGGCACTTGCCTGGTTAGAGAAACCAACACCAGAAACACAGTTTCCAGTTTGCCTCTTTTTACTTTTTGTCCCTTTCCAACCACTGATCCTCCTTCATGCCCACCCCCTCCTTAGCCTGAGCTCTGTCCTCTAGCACTCTGTGGCTTCCAATAATAAATTGGAAAGCACTAAATTGGGAAAACAGGGCCTGTGGTTCCTTACCTTGTGTAGTTTCCATTTGGATCATATGTATCCACTTAACCTCCCTTCCTCTGTGGCAAAATGGGGGCCATGGTTTCAGCTTGCCTCAGGCTTTTAATGTGGAGAAGAATCAAAAGTGCTGGAAAACAGGATGTTGCTTGTCTTAAATACTAAGCATGAGAAATAATACTGCCGTCGACTCATAGTGACCCCTCCTTGAGTTTCTGAGGCAATAACACCTCGGAAATAGATTGCCCAACCTTCCTTCTAAGGAGTGGCTGGTGGATTTGAACCGCCAGCCTTCTGGTTAGCAGTCAAATGCCTTAGGCACTATACCACCAGAGTGCCTATGAGAAATAACAGAAGGCAGCTTATTACAATAAAGACTTGATTTGCCTCTTTAGTTTAGTTTTAGTTCTAAACATTTGGCATGTGATTTGATACCGTTAATTAGTGTATGTACTTCAGACTTTGGACTCATTTCTAAGTTATATCTTCTTCATCAAGTGACCTTAGATAAGTCACTGCAATATTTCTAGAGTTGGATTTCAAGCTGTTAATTAGGGATAATGAAAAACTTCCTCTCTCTCTACTTTGCAGATGTGGTATTGAAATAAATGAAAATGCATAAGTTCAGATTTTCAAGAGAATACATTTTAAAATATTGCAATTGCTATCTTAGTTTCAGGACATGGTTAACCAACTCTTGAGTTGTTCCTCCACTCCAATCTCCACCTTACTTGTTATTGTCTCAAAATAGCTACAAATGGAAGCCATTTTCAAATCTCAGGTGCAATTGCTAAACAGTTTACTCTTAGAGGGCAAAGTGCTAAGATTCACCCACCTTCCCCGCACCATGTAGAACGGCTTGCCCTCCCCCTTTTCCCCCCTTCCCTTTCCGTACTGGCAACTTTGCTATACCCATATCATCATCCCAGTACCGCAATCACCAGGGTCCCCCACTCTCAGCTGGATGACAGTGATGCACTGCCACCTATGTCAGACTTACTCTGTTCTTTACACTTAGAATACCAGGAGCACTGGTTTTACTTTGAAGCTAAATGGCAGTTTTATTTGGAGGAGAGAAAAATTGCTGAAGAAAAAGAAAATAAAGCCACCTTTCCTGATAATTATGATGCCGAGGAGAGAGACAAGGTAAACCTTGCTATGAAATGAATATTTAAGCTATTTCCATCTTGTGGCTGTTGTGAACAGTGCTGCAGTCAACACTGGTGTAGAGGTTTCTGTTTGCATTCTTGTTTTCAAATCTTTTGGGTATACATCTAGGATTTTGATTGCTAGGTCGTATGGTAGTTCTATGTTCAACTTCTCCGAGGAACCGCCAAACTGCACTTCACAGTGACTGCACTATTTTGCCTTCCCACCAGCAATGGATGAAGGTTCCACCATGCCTTCCCTTTTAAGGTGATACCTACAACCTCTTCGTTTACCTCTCATGCAGCTCACCTAGATGCAATGAAGGCTTGGAAATGTAGTTCTTTAGATGGAGACACTACAGCACTGAATACTGAGTTTGTTACTAAAGAATAGGAGAGAGTGGATGTGTACAGTTCAATGACCAGTGTCTACCCCTAGGTCTCCCTGCTTGGCTCTCAACCTCTCTTCAATCTTTTCTCCACACAGCAGCCACAGTGATTCTTTTGACATCTAAATCACACTATATCACCATATTGCTCAAAGCATTTCCTTGGGTTCCCAACACACTTAGAATAAAATCCAAAGCCTTTCGGAGGGTCTCCAAGGCCCGCCATGATCTGCACCCTGCCTGCTGTTCTGATCACATGCACCACCAGCCTTCTCCTTCCCTATGCTCCATTCACAATCACTTTTGGCTCTTCTTTGGACAAAGTAAGTGTCCTCTTGCCTCAGGGCCTTGGCACTTGCTGTCCCCTTTGTCTAAAACACTGTCCTTTTAGATATTAACAGCTCATTGTTTCACTTTATTCAGATCTCTACTCAAATGTTACTGACCATTCTGTCTATAATAGTCCCCTGTCAGTACACTCTATCCTTTTCCCCCTGCTGTATTTTTCTACATAGAATTTACTGCTATCCAAGCAGCCATCTAGGTGCAATGATGGGTCTCTCCTCATCCAGAGCAAAGAAGAATGAAGAAAACCAAAGATTCATGGAAACAATTAGTCCTAGTGACTGGTACACCATCTGATCTGCATCCTATACGACTATGAGACCAGAAGAACTAAATGGTGCCAGGCTACCACTGTCATCCACTTAGAAGGGGATCTATGTAGGAGATCCTGGATAGAGA